ACCACTCTTCCGAGGCCCTCCATCACCAAGGCTTATGTTTCTAAAATCTCAGGCTTGGCAGTGAATCAGAGCTGGGGTTTAGTTCTGCCTGTTCCTACTTGTATGATTTTGGGTACATTACCACTTTAAATCTCAGGGAGTTTTAATCTGTAAAATGAGGAAGATAATGTTTTCTGTCTTCCAAGTTTGTTGTAAAGATTAAGTTAAATAATTAATATGAGGCATTTAGTACAGTATCTGGCACATTGTAAGCCCCTCACAAAGTTGGTTATTATTTTATTATTAGCAGGGACCAGGGCCTTAAAGTTCTAAGATGCAGGGCAATAAAAGAGGAAAGGAAAGAAAGGCCCTTTGTTGCTGGAAGAGCCAGTGCCACAGTTGGGCACACAGGGTCTATCACAGTCTGGCCCCAAGCCTCTACCTTACCCTATACTTACCTGCATGCACTCTGTGAAAACTTCCTTAGCTCCCTCAGGTAGGCAAAATTCCTCCTCTAGCTTCCCAGAGCACTTTGCATATACTTTTCTACTTTCCCTGATCATACATTCTCTTTTGTTTGCATACCTATCTCCACTCTACCATCCCTCATCCCAGGCTGTGAGTTTGTAGAACAGCAGGGACCATGTAGTCATCTTTGTCTTTGCAGCCGTAGGCACTCTGTAAGTCCCAGATGGATGGATGGATGGATTAAGGAACATGAGACAACATAGAGGCTTGGTAAAGGGATCAGGTCTGGGTACCCAGAGAACTAGCTAGGTAAGACAGTATTTGCTTCACAAGCTTGCCTAAGCCTGGGTCTGAGAAGACACAGAGAGGACATGACATTTGCAGAATTTTTTGCTTGGTGAGGGTGGTTATGCAATCTGTATGTCCCTTCATGGGAAAAGCATGGCTAGCTGGTGGCTGCTGTCAGGGCCAATATTAGGCAAAACTCCTTGGGAACTATGAGCCAAGGCAGCATGATACCTGTAAGTTTTTCTGCAGCCTGCAACATTGATATATTAATCGATTAGGAACAAGTCCTTCCAGGTGTGGCTGGTTGCTAGCAGGGCAGGCAGACTTGTGGACAATAACTATTCTCCCTGCGATTGTGTTCACTGTAAACAATGATGCAAGACCTAAAGATAGAAAGGGGATATGAAATGTGATTCTCACAGAACATTTAAGGATAACGTTTCAAAGTACATAAAATATAAAGTATCTTAGAACATAGGGCAACTTAAAGGGAGACAATATATGAGGTCTATCTGGAAAGTATCCAGCCACTATTAATATGTAACGAGAATGGTTTACACAACACAGACATGACCCGGCAACCAAGGAGAGTGGACTGGAGTAAGCAAGCGTGAACAATGATGATTTCACTGTACTAGTCAGTGGAGCACTAAACGCCATTGAGTGAGCATGTGTACCGTGTGGCTGTCAAATTAAAATGATTGAGCTAGTAGAGCAATGAATCCGCATCAAATTTTGCGTTAAGCTTTAACGTTCCTCTGTGGAAACTATTCGAATGATTCAGAAGGCTTTCGGGGACAATGCAATGAGTGCAGTGCAAATAAAAGTGTGGCACAAATGCTTCAGAGATGGTCGAGAATCTGTTGAAAGTGATCCACGTTCTGGAAGGCCTGCAACAAGCAGAACACCTGAGAATGTTGACCGTGTATGGGTTAGGTTAAGAGACACTGGGAGCCCGGGCTAATTAAGAAAAAAAACAAACAAACAACAAAAAAAAAAGAGACACTGGGAGAACTGCGTGAGGTCCCAAGGTGCCTACTTTGAAGGAGACTCAGGCGTCATTGTCCTGTGTACAATGTTTCTTGTATTTTGTATCTTCTTCAATAAATGTCTCTATGTTTCATATCATATGCCTGGATACTTTCTGTAAAGATCTCCTAACTTTACTTTTCAGAAATCATTCCATTTGCATTTTACCTTATTCTTTTTGTTAATAGCAACTGAAAATGATAATATTTATTGATTAATCACTTATTATGTACCTCAGACTTCACTTTTTTTTTAGAGACAGGGTCTCCCTCTGTCGCTCAGGCTGGAGTGCAGTGGTAGCTATCATAGGCTCAAATTCCTGGGCTTAAATGATCCTCCCACCTCAGCCTCCCTAGTAGCTAGGACCAAAGGTGCATACCACTGTGTCCAGCTATTCTTTTTTATTTTTATATTTTTGTAGAGATGAGAGTAGTGCTATGTTGCCCATGTTTGTCTAGAATTTTTAGCCTCAAGTGATCCTCCTACCTCAGCCTCCCAAAGTGCTGGGATTATAGGCATGAACAATCACACCCAGTCATTGCTTTTTTTAAAAAAATGATGTACTGGAGTTGGCTCCCACTGGCTCATAAGAGCCAATTGTGTGCATGTATTCTCAACTCTACATTAGATTGTTTCACATTGGCATCTTAAAATCAGCCACATCAAAAGTATTTACACCATAGAAACTGGCAAACACTAAAAATTAGGGTTTTCTACTCCCATCCCACTTGAGAGCTGATTGTTAAACATTTACCAGCATACCACTGACTTTACAATGACTGATCCTAATGAGCTTTCCCAATACTCCTACTTTACAGATGGGAAATTGAAGTTTAGAGAGGTTAAATAACTAAATAACTTATTACAAACTTTTTGTTGGCAAAGGCAGGATTAAAATTCAAACCAGCTGTCTCCAAATTCCATGCACTTAACCACATAATTCTTTGCAACACTTTTTATTTATAAAAAAAATCAGAAAAAATTTATCTTATATCAAAGATGTAAGATTTTAAACCCCTAATTTTAAGATTTCAGGCCAGGTGCAGTGCTCATTCCTGTAATCCTAGCATTCTTGGAAGCCAAGGCGGGAGGATTGCTTAAGCTCAGGAGCTCAAAACCATCCTAAGCAAGAGCAAGACCCCATCTCTACCAAAAATAGAAAAATTAGCGGGGCATCATGGCATGTGCCTGTAGTCCCGGCTATGTGGGAAGCTGAGGCAGGAGGATCGTTTGAGTCCAGGACTTTGAGGATGCAGTGAGCTTTGGTGACACCACTGTACTCTATCTGGGGTGGCAGAGTGAGATTCTGTCCAAAAAAAAAAAAAAAATTCCAAACCCCTAATTAGCTTAGCAAAGTCAGAGTAGGCAGCTCCAAGCTCCTGTCCCCCCATGGAAACTCAAAAAACAAGCAAAAGCTGTCAGAATCAACTGTGTCAGAATGCTGGAAAACAGGCAAAGGCTTACAGCAACCAAGTGAATGCTGAATCAAGAAAAAGTCAACTTAAAAATGGTAGGAAAGTTTTGTGACATTTTTACTTGCTCTTACCCCACACGCTCCTGGCTTGGCAACAGTCCTGAAGACAGCAGCCCACGTTGCCAGCAAGGGCCCATGGCTCCTTGTTACAGAGGGAGCAGAGCAGACCTTACTTGCAAATTACTGTGTGGATCTGTTTTAACCTGTCTGGAGCATCTGAAGGACTGGCACAAGGTGCTCATTTCTGTTTGCTTAGCCCTGAGCTAACCAGGCTGAAAAAGCACCAGGCGTTGCTCAAAACATTGTAAGGTAGAAGAACAATGCCTGAGACAAAAGATCACAATTGAGATATATAATAAACCACCTAAGGCCTGGGAGAAAAATCTGAGAAGAGAATTTATTTGGAAAGGTAGGGCAATCAAAAGCACCTGTATATATGTGAAATTTAGAAAGCCATGCATATGCCCAGAGCAAGATGCTTGATCAGAAAAGACCTGAAAACACCTTAAGCATTCATGACAGGCTGATTCTTACGCTCGGTGCAAGTCTGGCTAAGTGTTGAAGGAGGGTCCCCAGTATAGACCCAATCTGCAAAAACCAAGACAGGCATTTTGTTTGTTTGTTTTGCCTTATTTTTTAGCTCTTGGCATTCAAGTAAAATTCTGTCAAAATACTCACTGAATACAAACTAAGGAACAGAAACTTCAGCAACCACACATGACAAAGAAAACAATCTCTGCAAAAACACTTGGGAACGTCACTAGAAAAAAACTAGTACAGACTTCAACAATTAAAAAACTGAAACCCAGAAGACCCTGGGGAAGGGGAAGAATTTGATTTCCACAGTCACCACATTAAAAGTCCATCGAAAGTCCAAAGCTAGGCACAGTGGCTTGCACCTGTTATCCCAGCTACTCAGGAGACTGAAGAGGGTAGGATCACTTGAGGCCAGGAATTCAAGACCACCCTAGACAATATAGTGAGATCCATTCTCTGAAAGTAAAAAATTTTTAAAAATTAGCCAGGCGAGGTGGCATGTACCTGTAGTCCCAGCTAGTCAAGAAGCTGAGGTGGAAGGATCGCTTGAGCCCAGGAATTAGAAGCTTCAGTGATCTATGATTGATGCCATTGTACTCTAGCCTGAGCAACTAAGTTAGACCCTGTCTAAAAAAAAAAAAAAAGAAAAGTCCAGTTTTCAAAAACCACAAGGCACACAAAGAAACAGAATATATAGCTCAATGGAACAAAATATAGTGACAAAAACTGTGCCTCAAGAAGCCCAGACATTAGGCTTATCAGACAAAGATTTTAAAACAATGGTCTTAAATATGCTCAAAGAGCTAAAGGACAAAAAACCACAGGAAATCAAGAAAATGATGTATGAACGAAATGAGAATACCAATAAAGAGGTAGAAATCATAAAAAGGAACCAAAGAAATTCTGGGGCTGAAAAAGTATAACAACTGAAATGAAAAATAAAAAATCACTAGAGCAGTATTAATTTGCTAGGGCTACCATGACAAAATATTATAAATTGAGAGGCTTAAACAACAGAAATTTATTTTCTCATAGTTCTGGAGGCTGGAAGTCCGATATCAAGGTGCTGGCAGGATTGGTTTCTCTCTGTGGCTTGTAGATCTCTGCTCTCTTGATACCTCTTCACATGGTTGTACCTCTGTGCACACACACCCTGGTATCTCTTCTTATACAGACACCAGTCATATTGGATTAGGACCCTATCATACACATTTTAATAGTCATCTCAAAGAAAACAATTAAATTTATTTTAATTTAATCAGTTTGATCACCAGGAACAAGGATGCCTGCTTTCAACTGCTCTTCAACATTGTAGTATTCAACCTGAGAAAGCTGCTAGAAAAGAAAAAATTTAAAAATTTAAAAAAACACATTGTACTGAAAATTCTAGCCAGAGCAAATAGACAAGAAGTAGAAATAAGGGGCATCCAATCTGGAAAGGAAGAAGTAAAGCTGTATCTTTGTATCCAAAGAATCCACAAGAAAGCTACCTGAGCTAATAAATGAATTCAGCAAAGTTGCAGATCACAAGGTCAACACACAAAAGTCAGTTGTGTTTCTATAGACCAGCAATGGACATCTGAAAAAGCAATTTAAAAAAGCAATTCCATTTACATTACAATGACATCAAAAAGTATAAAATACCTGGGAGTAAATTTAAGCAAGGAGGTGAAATATTTTACACCGAAAACCATAAAACATGGCTGAAAGAGTAAGGAAGACCTAAATAAATGGGAAGACATCCACATTCATGGATTGGAAGACTTAATATTGTTAAGATGGCAATAATGCCCAGAGTGATTTACATATGCAACACAATCTCTACCAAAACTTCAACAGCTCTTTTTGCAGAAATAGAAAAAGCCTATCCTCAAATTCATATGGGATCTCAAAGGGCCTGAAATAGCCAAAATTATCTTGAAAAAAATCAAAAAGTTGGAGGATGCACACTTCCTAATTTCAAAACTGACAAAACCACAGTAATCAAACTGTGTGATACTGGCATAAGGATAGACATATAGACCAATGCAATAGAATTGAGTGTCATAAATAAACCCTCACATTTATGGCCAATGGATTTTTGACAGGTGACAAATCCATTCAATGGGGGAAAGTATAGTTTCTTCAACAGATGGAATTAGCACAACTGGATTTCTATATGCAAAAGAATGAAGTTGGGGCCAGGCGTGGTGGTTCACATCTGTAATCTTAGCACTCTGGGAGGCCAAGGCAGGAGGATCGTTTGAGCTCAGGAGGTCGAGACCAGCCTGAGCAAGAGCAAGACCCCATCTCCACAAAAAATAGAAAAGTTAGCTGGGCATGGTGGTGCTTGCCTGTAGTCCCAGCTATTCAGGAAGCTGAGGCAGGAGGATAGCTCAAACCCAGGAGTTTGAGCTTACAATGAGCTATGATGATGCCACTACACTCTAGCTTGGGTAACATAGCAAGACCTTGTGTCCCCCCCCCCCCCCCCCCCAAAAGAAATAAATAAGTAAAGCTGGGTCCCTACCTCACACTATATACAAAAATTAACTCAAAATGGATCAATGACCTAAATACCATAGCTAAAACCATAAAATTCTTAGAGGAAAATGTAGGGGTAAATCCTGGTAATCTTGGACTTGGCAATGGATTTTTAGATATGACACCAAAAGCATGAGCAATCAAATAAATAAATAAATTGAACGTCAGCAAAATTAAAAGCTTCTGTGCATCAAAGGACATTATTAATAAAGTAAAAAGACAACCAACACGATGGAGAAAGTATTTGCACATTAAATATCTGATAAAAGGTTTACTATCCAAAAGATATAAGGAACTCCTATAACTCAACAACAAAAAGACAAACAACTCAATTAAAAACAAGCAAAGGACTTGAATAGACATTTCTCTAAAAACGATATACAAATGCCAATAAGCACGTTTAAAAAATGCACATGATTAGTCACCAGGGAACTGCAACTTAAAACCACAATTAGATAGCACTTCACACCTGCAAAGATGGCTACAAAACAAACACATATATCAAGTGTTTGCAAAGATGTGGAGAAATTGAATCCCTTATACATCACTAGTGAGAATATAAAATGGTGTAGTCCCTGTGGAAAACAGTTTGGCAGTTCCTCAAAAAGTTAAACATAAATAGCCGGGTGCAGTGGCTCACACCTGTAATCTTAGCACGTCCGGAGGTTGAGGCAGGAATGGCGCTTGAGGCCAGGAGCTCGACCAGCCTGAGCAACATATTGAGACCCAATCTTTGAGGGAAAAAAAACAAAAGTTAGACATAGAATTACCATATGACCCAGCAATTCCACTCTTAGGTATTTAATATATACTCAAAAGAAATGAAAAGAGGGACTCAAAATACTAATGTTCATTACAGCATTATTAACAATAGCCAAAAGGTGAAAACAACCCAAGTGTCTATCAATAGATGAATAGACAAACAAAATATGAAATATGGATACAACAGAATATTTTCAACCATAAAAAGGAATAAGGTTCTGATACATGATACAATGTGAGTGCACCTTGAAAATATTATGCTAGGTAAAATGAGCCAGAAATCAAAGGACAAATATTGTATAATTCCACTTATATAAAACATATAAAATACCTAGAATAAGTCAATTTATAGAGACAAAAGTAAATTAGAGTTTATCAGGGGCTGAAAGGAGGAAGGAAGGGAGAGTTATTGCTTAATGGATATAGAGTTTCTGTTTCGGGTGATGGAAATGTTTAGAAATAGGTAATGAAAGTGGTTACATGGCACTAGGAATGTAAATAGTGTCATTAAACTGTACACTTGAAAGTGGTTAAAATGGCACATTTTGTGTTATATGTATATTACCACAATTAAAAACCCTAATTAGTAGCTCATGCCTGTAATCCTAGCACTCTGGGAGGCCGAGGCGGGAGGATGGCTCGAGGTCAGGAGTACGAAACCAGCCTGAGCAAGAGCGAGACCCCGTCTCTACTAAAAATAGAAAGAAATTAATTGGCCAACTAATATATATAGAAAAAATCAGCCGGGCATGGTGGCGCATGCCTGTAGTCCCAGCTACTCGGGAGGCTGAGGCAGGAGGATTGCTTGAGCCCAGGAGTTTGAGGTTGCTGTGAGCTAGGCTGACGCCACGGCACTCACTCTAGCCTGGGCAACAAGGGGAGACTCTGTCTCAAAAAAAAAAAAAAAAAAAAAAAAACAACCCTAATTAAGGCGGGGCATGATGGCTCACGCCTATAATCCTAGCACTCTGGGAGGCTGAAGCGGGCGGATTGCTCAAGGTCAGGAGTTCAAAACCAGCCTGAGCAAGCGTGAGACCCTGTCTCTACTAAAAATAAAAAGAAATTAATTGGGCAACTAAAAATATATATACAAAAAATTAGCCAGGCATGGTGGCACATATCTGTAGTCCCAGCTTCTCCGGAGGCTGAGGTAGAAGGATTGCTTGAGCCCAGGAGTTTGAGGTTGCTGTGAGCTACACTCTAGCCTGAGCAACAGAGTAAGACTCTATCTAAAAAAATAAAAAAATAAAAAACCTCTAATTAAACTGTTCATGTTTGTCAACCCTCTACCTAATTTTCCAGCACCTTCTTATCCTCCTTATTTGAGCCTCATGTTGCCCACTTCTCTCCCAATTGCTCAGTCTTGCTCCTCTGTGTTCCTTGGCAACAACTGTGGAAATGCACCAGCCACCACCCTGAGCTAGCTAAGCACCACTGTGTTGACAAAAACTGCATTGACATTAGGGGAAAAACTAGGTAAAAAAATAGGTACAAACAGTACATAGAATAAAAGCCCTTGAAAGCACAGATGAGCCATGTTTGACAGCTTTAGAAACTTGTGCAAAGGCATGAGTTTTCTTCTGGACCACCTCTCTCAGTGGTTCAAGAAACAAAGGTGTAACATCCCAGCCTCCTGCAGCAGACTGCCCCCCAACCCCGCCACCAAGTGTTAGGCCACAAAGACTGAGCCTCTTTCAACAATTTAGTCTAGCCCTGATGTGCTTATCCTTTAATGTGCTCTGTATTTATATTCTCTCTTGTTTTGTTTTCCTAAGTTAGACAAAATTTTTGATTAACTACTTGGCCTTTTCACAATGATCTTGATGCTTAAAGGTAATGTTTGTGGACCAGGACTTCCTTCTTTCAATGAGACTGTAGAACATAATAGTATAATATTAATAATCTGTACTATTCCATAGACCCGCCCACTTTTCAAAGGAGAAGGGAACTCTTAACAGTTCCTTTGGGGGACTGAACGTAATTTTGCATGCATTTCTAAAATTCAGATTATAAAGTTTACTTTGTAAAATTGTGTATGGCAGTGGTAAAGAGTTGGGGCATTGGTGTCCTGTGTTTGACATTGGCTCTGTCATCTGCTGTGTGCCCTGGACAAGTCTCCCCACCTCTCTGAGTATGGATTTCCTCATCTTTAAAGTAGACAGTGTAAAACCTACCTCAGAGGATTATGGTGAAGTTTAAATGAAAGAAAGGATAAGAAGTACCTAGCACAGTACCCAGCACAGAGTAGGTGCTCAAGAGAGACAGCCTTTAGTTACCTTATTTGTTGTACTGCATCCATGAACACCCAGAGTTCTTCTCCATAAAATTTTCCCAGACATCCCATGATGATTTCTCTTTTCTCCACATTCCTAAAATTCTTGAGAATTGAAAATACAATTCATGCTGTAGCCATTTTCATAAACTTTCATCAAATACACTTGAAGTCTTTTTTTTTTTTTTTTTTGAGACAGGGTCTTGCTCTATCCACTGGGCTAAAGTGCAGTGGCATCATCAGGGCTCACTGCAACCTCAAACTCCTGGCCTCAAGCAATTCTCCTGCCTCAGCCTCCCAAAGTGTTAGGATTACAGGCATGAGCCACCACACCCAGCCAAGTCCTCTGAGAGCAATGGCAATGTTGTAGACTCTTGCTGCCTCCAAAGCCTGATGACACAACACAGCTAGTGGACCCTGAAGAAACATGTCTTAGTCTGTTTTATGCTGCTATAACAGAATACCTGATACTGGGTAATTTATTAAAAAAAAACAAAAACAGAGATTTGTTGCAGTTCTGGATGCTGGGAAGTTCAAGGTCTAGAAGCCCATATCTGCTGAGGGCTGTTCTGTCATGTCATCCCATGGCAGAACACAGAAGGGCATGAAAGCACGTGCAAGAGAGAGAGTAAGAGATCAAGCTCACAGTCTCCAGTCCTTTTATAACTGGCACGGATCCCTTCATGGGGGTGGAGCCCTCATGATCTAAACGTCTTCCATCAGGCCCCATCTCTCAACACTGTTGCATTGAAGATTAAGTTTCCAACATATGATTTTGGGGGGACACATCTAAACCACAGCAGAACACTTGTTAAATCAAGTGGCTATGAAGCAATCTGGAGCCCAGGATAAAGCACTGGACTAGTCATCACAGGATTTAGGCTCTAGTCCTAGTTTGTGACATGGGACAACACATTTCAATGCAACTCTGATAATCAGTTTCTAAACTGGAAGAATAGGGCTGCCCTGCCTACTTTCAGAAAGAATTGCAGTCAGATTCAAGTGTGACACCATACATGTGAAAGTGTTTGGTTATTCCTGAAGTGCTAAACAAACATAACCCTACCTGGATTCTCTCATTGTGCCTTCGATTTGCATAAGCAACCAAATTCTCCTAATGTTGTCTTTATTCAAGGCTGTTGATAAATACCCTATCATTCTGGTGCTAGAAGAGAAGCAGAATAAGTTAAAATAAAACCTGTTGGATACTAGTCATTTACAATCAGATGATTGTCTCAACCAATTAACCACTTACACCTAAAGTTAAACCTACTGCAAGGATTAGCAGATTGATAGATTTTTAGCACAAAAGCTTATGTTCAAAATGTCCATTAGCAATAATGGGAGTTATGCCTGCTAGGCCCATAGAGAGATGAGAGTTGAATGTGATCCATAATCTATCTTACTTAATGTCATCAGTTTCCCTATAGTCCCTTCAAACTATCAGATGCCAGTAAAATGCTGTAAGTGGAACTAATAGCACTGAGTTAGGAGAATATTGACAGTCTACTTGAATGAATCTTTGCAACATGACAAACTTCTAGATATTTCAAAATCTTGATGTGCCTTTGCAAATTTTGTTTGTTTATTTAAGGAGGAAGGCAACCCTTTAATGATGAGAAAATACTAGAAAAGGATAATTTACATGAATGTATCAGACAAAATATTCCCCCTAATACTTGGATTTTTTATTATATAAAAATTGATTACATGGCCAGGGGTGGTGACCCATGCCTATAATCCTAGCACTTTGGGAGGCCAAGGTGGGAGGATTTGAAGCTGGGAGTTTGAGGTTGCAGTGAAGTATGATGATGCCACTGCACACTAGCCTGGAGACAAAGCAAGACTCTGTCTCAAAAAAGAAAAAAGGAAATTGATTACAGTTGTTGAGCCTTTTATAGATTAGAAAATCCTTCACATTGCCTTTAGTTTACCAGAAATGAGAAAGACAAAAGTGACACTGGGCTTTTTTTCTCTCCTTCAAAATAATCATTGAAGATACCCTTTATATATATTTTTTAAACAGAGTCTCACTTTGTTGCCCAGGCTAGAGTGAGTGCCGTGGCGTCAGCTTTGTTCACAGCAACCTCAAACTCTTGGGCCCAAGTGATCCTCCTGCCTCAGCCTCCTGAGTAGCTGGGACTACCGGCATGTGCCACCATGCCCAGCTAATTTTTTCTATATATATTTTTAGTTGGCCAATTAATTTCTTTCTATTTATAGTAGAGATGGGGTCTCACTCTTTCCTAGGCTGGTTTCGAACTCCTGACCTTGAGCATCCGCCCCACCTTGGCCTCCTAGCGTGCTAGGATTATAGGCGTGAGCCACTGCGCCCGGCCAAAGATACCCTTTAGTCACAAAACATGATGCTTGGCTAGAACTTTCCCAATCACATGAGCACAACAATTTCTCCCATATTCTTACCCCATATTCATTCAGTTATCAACTCCTGTCACATCATCTTTTAAATACTTGATATCTACCTCTTTTCCATTTAGTGTCATTATGCCTACCCTAATTAAGGCTCCTTGAATGCAGAGAAGTGACTTCCTAATTGCTCTTCTTTAAATCTCTTGATACTTTAATCCATCTTGCACATTCTATATTGTATAGGATGTAAAATCTGACCAGGTGTAGTGGCTCACCCCTG